AAAAAGTCAGCTAAACTCATATCATTGTGGGAAAATTCTACTACCAGTCCTTCATCACCTTACACGAAATAATTCAATGGTAACGTCAGCTCAACTCATATCATTGTGGGAAAATTCTACTACCAGTCCTTCATCACCTTACACGAAATAGCGTCAGCTAAACTCATATCATTGTGGGAAAATTCTACTACCAGTCCTTCATCACCTTACACGAAATAGGGGATCAGCTCAACTCATATCATTGTGGGAAAATTCTACTACCAGTCCTTCATCACCTTACACGAAATAGGGGCCAGCTCAACTCATATCATTGTGGGAAAATTCTACTACCAGTCCTTCATCACCTTACACGAAATAGGGTGAAATCTCATTAAACGTAACGGACATCATCAACTGGGACGGGTATCGTACTTACGACCCTAACCTCTTGTATATATACACATAAAGGCATCTAAATGCACACAAATATACACACGTACTTGTTTCTAGATTGATGTATGACTTGAGTGAACCAATTCAACATATAGTTAGAGTATATATACAGTTTTTAGAGTAAGTTGGTTCGATTTCTTTGCTCTTTAGCCTGAATATGGTTGAAAAAAGATTTATTTATTTATTTATGAAATGCAATCACTTTTTTTCGATAAGGTAATAAAGGAATGGTAGTTGAATTTTCCCACAATGATATGAGTTGACCTTACAGCTTCGTATATATGCTGCAATGGTAGTCTCGAAAACCTACTTGTAGAAATGAAAAAGCGAAAGCTTGGCACATCTTCTTGTGAATCGAAGAAGGCCGTCTATGGGACGGCGTCTTGTGGAATCCTCGAGTAAAGTCAATCGACAGATTGCGAAAGAGGCGTCGCTTTCCTCTTCTGATGGTATCAACCCGCAAGGCTCTTAACCAAACAATTTCACTCCAAATATAAAATGAATGCTGCCGATGAAATGTCTGGGAATGCATCAAGTCTGCGGTCAACAGAAGCAGGACTGCGCACATGGTGGGTTCATCAAATCTAGGTGGCCTTGACAACCGTACCAAATAGCGAGGACGAGGGGAAAATGTCTGCGATTAATTTCTGCTTGCTGCCACCTTCTGCCCTTAATTCTGCCTACCTTTGTGGATCCCGGTGATCTTGTCGCGCAGGACGATCAGTTCATGGATCTCTCCGAACATCGTGAACAGCGGCCCAATGTCGTCCTCACTCAGGTTGCGTGGTATCTGGCCGACGAACAGTTTGATGACGTCCGTATCTCGACCGCCGACCGGTCTACCGGCTGACTCTGGAGGACAAAAAGCACCGACGGTTGGTACCGACGGTTGGAGACCGTTGTTGGCGCCGAAAGAGGCTGCCAGAGCGTCGGAGCCGACGGCGCCGGCGAGGCAGGTCGCCATCGTCTCCGAGGTCGTCAGGCCTCGGCTGCAGTTGCTGAGGCTGGAGATGCCGGTACCACTGCCGCCGCGGAGCCAGACGTCGAGTCCGGCGTCGGCCGAAATGGGTCGACCAAGCAACGGCGTCGCGCCGGCCGCCAGCGAAGACAGCAGAGCCGTCTGAGTCGTCTGGTCGCTGGGCGCTAACAGCAGACCCAGCATCGAGCCGGTGGTCTGGAGGGCGCCGGACGACGGTACCAAAGTCATCTGACCCACGGGGCTCAGGTAGGCCGGTCGGCCTGACGACGAGACTGTCTCCAGTTGGACCGGCAGGACAGACGGTGTGAGCTCGCCGCCGGGCAGATACGTGGCGCCGTGGAACAGATCGGGCAGTCGGGCCAAGCCGGTTTCGACGAGCAGCCCAGTTGGCTGGAACATCCTTTCGCCGGAAGAGACAAGTTGGTCGAGTGAGATGGCGGAGGAAGAGGAGTAGTGAAGATGTTCAAGGCTTCCGACTGGAATTCGTCGGAGCAAAATGGAGGCTTGGCCAAATCGGCCGGCCGAACCAACTCGAGGCGACCGGCTTCAAGGATGAGGTGATGCTGAGTGGCCGAATCGGCACAATCCATAGCCTCGTGGCGCAAATGAGTGTTTAGTCGCTATGAGGCTGTCACTAGGGAGCATGGGGCGGCGCCGAATCAGACCATGAATCCGCGAGAGGTCGTCTTCTCGGCCATCGGTCGGAGGGACGGAGGTGGAAATGCCGTCTGTTGGCGTGTCGTGGGAGCTGAAGGAGAGGCGAGCAGGGCGGAGTGGAGTGAAGTGAAGAGAAAAGGAGAGGAGAGGAGAGGAGAG